AAGTGATTGTTTGCAGTGTGCGAATATTGGTCCGGCTGCGTACAATTACGACGAGACCGTTTCGACGTTACGATATGCGAATCGTGCCAAAAACATCAAGAACGTGGCACGCATCAACGAGGATCCCAAAGATGCGTTGCTGAGGAAGTTTCAACTGGAAATCGAACACCTCAAAAAATTGCTGGCGGCCGATGATTCGAGTGCGGGTAGTGGAGAGGATGAGATGAACGAAGAGAATGGTGCAGATTCGATTATGGAAAGCAACAATAATAATATCTTCAGTAGTAGTATGATTTGTAAGCGAGTGAAAGGAAGATACGATGAACGCATTGAACAACTCGAGAAGAATATTGGCCAGAAACGAATCGAGTTGGAAAAAGAGAAAGGTCTTGCCGAAGAGGAACGACAAGCGTTGGCTGCGGAACTGAGCGCGAAAGAGGCCGAGCTGAGTCGAGCGAAAGCCGAGCATTCAGAGTTGATGAATAAACTGCATCAAATCGAGAAACGATTGATTGTCGGCGGTGAAAATATGCTCGAAAAAGCGGAGAAACAAGCCAAGTTGCTGGCCGAAAGTAATGCTGAGCTGGAGAGGGCACGGGCGAACGAATCGCATCTGCGAAAGGCGTTAGCCGAGAAGAATCAAGAAAGGTAAGGGTGTCGATTGCGATTGAATGACTTCAAAATATGACTTGATGCAATCGTACTCGTCATTTTTCAGGGAATAATTGTTTGTGTTAACAACAAAAAAATTGGAGTATATCTAATAATGATTGTATGCTTTTGATGGATTAATGGACTCAGAGATAACTGATTGATATTGCTGTGTTCAGAGTGGATCTAGAAGAGAAATACAATTCGTTAGCGGAAGAGGCGCATGGTAAGACGAAAAAACTGAAAAAAGTTTGGACAATGTTGAGCGCAGCAAAAAGTGAGCTGGCCGATGTGCAAAGTGAACATCAGCGGGAAATGGAAGGTCTACTCGATTCGATAAGACAACTCAGATCCGAACTGCTTTTACAACTTCTCATCATTGGTAATTCGTTAACTTATCACCTCAATTCATAAAATTTATCAGTTGAGTGGCTCGTTTCGTGTAAGGTTCAGGCAGCTCTGTGTNAACTTATCACCTCAATTCATAAAATTTATCAGTTGAGTGGCTCGTTTCATGTAAGGTTCAGGCAGCTCTATGGTAACATTCTAAAGACATCAACTGTATCATTGAAAAAAATGACTTTTCATGCGTTGTTGCTTATTGTTAGTAGTATTTGATTGTTCGAAAAGTTATTATTGTTAGTGATGTAATGAAATGCGATTTTAGACAATTACATACCTACTGAGTATTTGGAAATGATCGAGCGATTTGTGTGGTGGAATGAAGAGATGGGTGATTGGCAACTGAAGTGTATCGCATACACTGGAAATAATATGCGCGCTCGTAATCCTCTCCCAACACCTGTCTATAAGGTTGTGTTTACGCATTGAATTGACATCTTCGAATAGCTTACCTGGAACACTTACTGTTAGTGGAGTTGTAGGGATTAGGTAATTGAAAGATGAAGGAAGGGCTCAATCCATTTTTCACCTTATCCTTGAAATTCATTACCGTGTCTGATAGTGCGGCGCCAATAAAAAATGTGTGTTAAAATGGCGGTGAGAATTTTTGTGGCTGACATTGTATTGTTTATTCACCAGATAGGGAAGAGTAATTCATTGTTTTGCAGGTGGAAAATCCACAAATGCGAAATTTGTTTCTGTCGTATGCTGATGAAATTGGGCAAAATGTACAGATAGAACCAAGAAGTGCGGCGAAAGTACGATTAAAATCGGCGAAACGGTTAGCGATTTGACGATTCGGCTTAATGCTCTTCTGCTTTTGGTCAGCGATTGGGAAAGTTTTAAGTTTCTTCGATTAAATTTCTGCGACGAATTCGTTATTGAAGCGTGATGATAATATAAAGAATAATTTATTCCATTTAAATAATTTTCGTCGACGGAATTTCAGCGAAAGAGACGCAGCCAGATTAAAAGCACTGCTGCATTGAACCGGTCGATCGTTTTCATGTCATGCTCAATCCAAATCGAGGTAAACCTCGCTGGAAACACAAAAGGCATTCAATCATTGATGCGTGTATTCATCGTTCTTTAAACCAAATAATTTCTCAAGTATATACTTCATAATCTCACACATTTGTTTCTTTTTTCTTCCCATTGTTATTCTTTATNCGTTCATTGAATCTCCTTTAAGTTGTTGAAGATCTCCGTCGGTCAGATCGACATGGATTTTGATAAATTTGGAAATCGTTCTTCTCCGCATAACGAATGTAAGAAACTGAACTAGTTCATTATTTCAGTTTTAAAAATTTATATGCGTTCCATTTTTTTAATGTCCAAATTTAGCGATTTTTATCACTCTCTTCAAAAAGGTATATATCCATGCATCAAATGTGTTTATTTTCATTCAGATAATTTAAAGCAGTTATCATATCACTTCTCTTATGTTCAGTTCCTAAATGTTTTCCGTTTTCGTTCAATTATCCTGTGAAAGTGAACAATCTTTCATAAAATCTATCACATTTCTACGTCATGAGGATGACTTTTTCGAAGAGAATTTCTTTCATATTGTATCTCAGAATTTTATATTGTAAATGTTTGCGCATCGTATTGTTTTCCCTCTCGCGGAGTGCATATATTAGGCTCAAATCAGAATTTTTACTTTCCGAATACTTTCGAGTGTCTTTGATACTGCAGTAGTAACAATCAGTTCATTTTGATTTTGTTTGGCAAATAATTTGCATATCACGATGCATTATTAATGATTTTTGAATTGTGTATATGATGAAGAAGTAATATTTCATTGATCGTTCCATATTTCTAGTCTTTGTAGAATTTTTGCTGCCATTTGGAGAATCTCGTCTATTATTTCTATGAACTCATTATTATTATTGTTGTTGTTGATTATATTGTTGTGTTCGTATTTATTCGTTTGTACACTGTCAACTCTATCTGTTATATTAATTAACGGTATCTGAAATAAACATTTCAGTCGGATATCGTTGAAATTATGCAATATTCAGTGAATGTACAGTGTAAATTAAGATGTTTTGTTATGCCGTGCAAGTTAAAGTTAAATGAAGCAGTGGAAATCTCAAGTGATCTTTAATCACATGTGGACAGTAAACCTGGGAAAATACTCATTGTGGTGGTCGGTCAGTTGCTCAACTCTTGGACCAGGCAAAATTTGTCGCGCGATTTGCAATACCTTGAATTCAGTAGTCAAATGGATGGAATTCATAGATTTTCCAAAGATTTCTCCTCATTGATCACAATTTCATTCGTCACCTCGTGTTGAACGAACGTTTTTGTGTCTTATTTTGCTTTTTTCTCTAAAAAAGTAACGAAAGATTCTACTCAAGAAACGATAGTTGGGAAAGCAAGTGAAAATATAATATGGTTAAGCAATAACATTGATAAACTGTCAAATTCTTCAAAGTATTGGGCAAAAGATCTCAATTTCACAAGCGGTTTCCTTGAAATTCAGAATTTCTAAACAGTCATAAATAAGCTGAATGCATCATGGAGTGGATAAGAAGTACGAAACAACCGATAGAAAGTGGTGAATGAACAACGATCACTAGACCATTTTATAGCATACGAACAAGTTTAACGGTATTTGAGTCGAGTGATGAGAAGCAAATAAAAAGCGCGATGAATTGATGAAAACGCGAAGCGGAAATTGAAATCAATTGATGGATGGATAATTTTTAATATATGGAAATGTGTATTCTAATTGTCGAAATCTCAAAGTTATTGTTACTGATTAGATCAATATCAATGCTAACATGTCAACCGATCAGAACAATTGTGATTATGAATTAGAGTTCAGTGGAAAATCAGCTCAAAATATGTGTATGTCAATTAGTTTTGAAATTGACAGTGAGATTTATTTTTAACAATGACAAACTTTTCCAAAATCAGCACGACTACTCATAGTAAATGATGGTAATTGAAGTCATCATGATACGTGGTCAATGGTTGCGTAGATTAGTTATGATTTTCTGCACAAATGAAGTCATTAAACTATCACAGAGTGGATGTTTTTTGCGAGGGTTTGGTTGCTCAAAAGGATAAGTGAAATGAGAATATGAACGATTTTAGGTCGTTGGATATGACAATGACCGGAGCGGATCAACACTGTGAATGTACACTGAATAAAGTGATGATAACGAAAATTAGAAAGCCCTTTGATACAAAACAGATCAATGCCTTTTGTTCCATGTGAAATATTGCGAGCATTCAGATTCTTTGCCACTCACTTAATGAAATTCGATTATCGTTCATTGATAGCTCACTATCTATAAGTATTTTCGCAAAATTGTTGAATAAGTCTCACGATCGAGTAAGTT